TGCCTTGTGGATCAAAGCAAGCATGAAGGAAACCATTGCCTTGTCGAAACTTGGGAAATAGAAACAAGCTTGATCTTCTTCAACTTGTCAAAATCTGCCAACCACTCTTTTCGATCAGTCATGTGATTCGAACAACCTGAACCAGATTTTGAATTCGACACAGTTATCTGCAGCTGCACACTTTTTCTTTTATCTGCTTTCCCCTTTCAACAGTTTCCTCTTCCTTCTTTCGAAGATTCAGAAATTCCAACTTTCGACCTGATGCTTGAAAGTCCAATATTATCCATGGAAACTATATGGGGCATTAAAAAGTCCAATTGTACTTGTGCAAACTTGAGCTTTTGGAAATCTTTGTGAGAAATGCCTTGAGAAAAGAGAGGGAAAATTTTGGGGTGGAACAGTTGTCCTGTGCATGGTCACTGAGCAAGGGTTAGTGAGCAGGAAGAGAGATTTCGATAAGCAAACAGGAAGCGAGAGTTTTCTAAGAGGAAGTTAGTGAAGAGGGCGTAAGTGACGACATAATGGACGTAACTTTGGCTCCGTAAGTCCAAATCGAGTGTCGTTCGAAGTGTTAGAAAGATACATAAAACTATTGATTAATGTCAGTATTTGAGTTATATTTTATATGATTACTGAACTCAATGTGAAAAATGACGTTTCTTAACCAATCTTATGATTTTCATGATGATATTGATGAGGTTGTTAAATGAGATTGTTGTGTTATGATAGAGAATGCTTATATGTTGTCGATATTGGTGGATTAAGAGTGACTATTTGTTGTAGTGTTGTTATGAAGGATGTTACTTTCTTATATGAATATATATGATATGTTGTTGGTGGCATATACGGTCAAAAGAGGGGCTAATGTGTATGTGTTGTTGTTGTATATTGAGATTCCATGCATTCATGTTGTCAAAGCTTTGGTTCTTTATAATGAGTCTCGATCCTATAGTGATGGGTCGATTGCGAGTAGCTAATTCCTATTACGAGGAATTAGTGGAGTGTTACCTATGGTGATGGAGGAGATTTGGTGTTCTCTAATTCTAAGAGGCGATCAATCATATGGCGGGGATCGTGGAGTGAAGTGAACTTAAGTGTTCATATTTTGGTACCACATGCATATTGAGTCAGTTGTTGATGATGATTCTGCTACGATGATACTTTAAAATGGAAGTGAGCATGCAATGACAAGTTATGAATATCTTATTATATGAATATGTAATACTGATTGGATGAGTTGGATGTCGTGTAAAGATCCCATGTACGATTTAGATGAGTTAGATGATGTGTAAACATCCCAATTACAAATGTGTGTCTTGGAACTATTATATTGAAACCCATGTTATGGAGCAATATATATTTTTTATATGTGTGTGACACCCTATGTGGTTGTATTTGCAATAAAATTATGTGATTTTCATGTGTGGGGTTTAGGGTGTTACATTAGTGATATCAAAGCAGGTTGGTTCGTCCGGACATGTTTTTATATGAGGTATATTCCCTGTTGGTCAATTAGTGTGCAAACACAGTCGATGTTTTGTTTCCTCTAATGTTGGTTTCCTATGTAAAAAGTTATGGCTGGAGGAAGAAACAATGATGCAATTTTCAAAGATTTAGAGTCGTTGGCTCAGGCAATAACTCAGAATCAGCAGAACATTCAGAATGCTAGAGAGAATGATGAGTTTTGTGCTTTGGGGAGATTTCAGGGAAACAATGCGCTGATCTTCAAGGGAAAACATGATTTTGATGGTGCACATAAGTGGCTCAAAGGGATTAAGAGGATATTCATGGTGATGGCTTGCTCAAAGGAGCAGAAGGTACAATTCGGTATTCATATGCTAGAAGAGGAGGTTGAGGATCGTTGGGATAATGCACACTAGAGGATGGTGATTTTGGATATAGAGATCACTTGGTCTGTGTTCAGAGTACTTTTCTAGAGAAGTACTTTCCTGAGGATGTGTGTGGTAAGAAAGAGATTAAGTTCCTCAAGATAAAACAAGGGAATTTGACTATTGCTAAATATGCTGCCAAGTTTGAGGAATTAGTGAAGTTTTATCTACATTATAATAATTTGGCGGTTGGAGTGTTTAAGTGCGTCAAGTTTGAAAATGGATTTCTTCAGGAGATTAAGCAAGATATTGGGTATCAAAAGGTTCTCCAGTATCATGTGCTAGTGAACAAGTGAAAAATATTTGATGAAGATAGTAGAGCCAAATATTCTTATTATAAGAATCTTAGTGATAAGATATGGAAGAACCAAGATCGTGGAAAACTGCATAGTGCTCCAGCTGACAAAGGGAGATAGAAGGCTTCATATGGTAAGAAGACAAGTGGGGGAGAAGCACCTGCTTCTCTAAAGTGATTTAAGTGCGGGGAATAGGGAAACCATGCTAATGATTGCAACAATAAAGTTCTGAGATGTTTCAAATGTGTGAAGATAAGTCACTGTGTTTCTGAGTGCAAGAACGACGGTCCAACTTGTTTCAATTATGGTGAACAAGGTCATATCAACATGCAATGCCAGAAGACAAAGAAGACGACATCTATTGTTGCACATACTAATGTTAGAGTGTTTGCCTTGAGTGGTTCAGAAGCCTCCAAGAAAGATAACTTGATCTGAGGTACTTGTTTCATTAACAATGTTGAGTTGATTATTATTATTGATACTTGTGTTACTCATTGGTTTATTTTGCTTGAGTGTGCTAAGAGGCTGGGTTTAAAATTATCTTCTATTATTGGGAATATGATTATCGATACCCCAACTAATGGTTCTGTTACTACTACGTCGATATGTTTGAGTTGCCCGTTGACTATTTATGGTAAGAATTTTGCAATGGATTTGAGTCAAATAAGCAAGTAGAGTAAACAAGATATCATAAAGAAAAGCTACCCATTTCCCCATGATTCAAGTCACCTTGTAAGCTTGATTCGCATCAAAATTAATAGAGCCAAACATGAAAACATGAATAACTTTGTGATTCGAGTCATGTAGAAAGCTTGATTTGAATCAAACTGGGTTGTGGCTAACAAGAGATGTGTGATTTCAAAATCATTGCAACTTGTGATTCGAGTCACAGTGTTACATGACTCGAATCACGTGTAAACTGTGATTCGAATCACAGGCACAAAAAAAGTTCTTGTTCTCCTCTATTTGATTTGATTCGAGTCATAGATTGCGAGATACTTGAGTTACACACAATAAATCTCAATTTTCAAGTTTTTCAAAATAGTTTGAGATTTCACATCCCACATGACTTAAACCAATATCAAATATGATTTTTCTTCCATGAACTCAAGAAATTTACTTTTAACATCATGATCAAACTCAAATACAAACAATTGAATTATTCATGCTAAAAAATGAATTGGTTCAACACTCAATTAAAAGATGTGCAATCGATGAGGATACTCAATAAACAAAGATAAGTGAAACAAAAGATTAGAAGACAAGCAACAAAACTGTATTGGGGTTCTCCCCCAAATGTATTAAGGACATGCAACTCCAAAGTTAAAATCGTGTAGAAAAAAAATAAGATTAGTAGAAATTGAGCAATGTCATATATGTTCTCTTGAATCATCAAAATGATCAAAAGTCGGTTACAATTAGGAGTATTTCCCTCTAGGCATGGCAAAAAAACTCGTATCCGCGAGTACCTACCCCGAACCTGCCTCATTTATTTCATTATGTACATTATTATTTATTTTTGATAATTTAGAATATTAAATATTGGGCCAATGTTTAGATAATTTGATTTGTGTTTATTATTTAAAATATTTGAAATGTATGTATGGAATTTTTTGAGATTATTTTATGTTATTATTTATAATTTAATTTAATTTTGGAAAAAATATTAAAAATTTGATTTTATTAAATAGATGGTGGTGGGTGGAGATACCTAAACCCAACCTGAACCCATTTAGGATGGGTTCGAGTTTTAATTATCCATCCCTATTTGGATTTGGGATGGAGAACGAGGATTGTTTGAGAATTCGGGTTTGGGTTTGTGGTGGTAAAAACCATCCGATTTCCATGCCTATTTCCCTCTATTAAATTACAACTTTGACACATAAATCGATGCTAACTAATATTGGAGGTATAGGATAGTCGTGAGGTCTCAGCATATTAGAGGTTTAGAACCCCTAGTTTTGTTTTCTTAATGGCTATATATAGATAAGAGTTAGTTTATTGGTGTAACTAACTGTAACACATTGTAACAGATTCAGATAATGAAATACTTCATCTTCATCCTTTTCTCTGGTTTTTCCATCATATTATGCTAGTTACAGGTTTCAGTTCCACCATGCTTGACACATTCGATATGGTATCATTAGATTTTCTCTGTAGATCTTGCTTCAGCAAGGTTTGATTTTGTCTTCACTTCCAGATTATTTTGTTAAGCTCGTCTTCTCTATCAGCATTTCCATGGAAGATCAACAGAAGAATCCATTCTTCATCCATCATTTAGATCATCTCAATCTCGTTCTTGTATCACATATCTTGACGGAAGAAAACTATTTGTAGTGGCTGTTCCATGCTCATCGTGCTTCATGCAAAGAATAAGATTGGATTCGTTGGTGGCTCGATTGCACAACCTCCAGACTGTGATACTCAGTTTCAGCTTTGGCAACACAATGAAAACATCATTGTATCGTGGCTTTTGAACTCAGTTTCAAAAGAGCTCACCGCCAGTATCATCTACGCCTCCACTGCGCCGGCGATTTGGAACGATCTTCATGAACGCTTACTGTAGAACAATGGTCCATGATTGTTTCAGCTTCATAAGGAACTCATCACTTGCACTAAAGGTACTCTCTTAGTCGGTGCCTACTACTCCAAGATCAAAGGTCTTTGTGAAGAACTTACTGAATTTTTCCCTATTCATCAGTGTGTCTGTGGTGGGGTCAATCCTCTGATCGATCACATCAATCGTGAGTATGTTCTCACATTCTTTCTTGGATTAAATGAAAGCTTAAATTTAATTTGCCGTCAGATCCTGCTCATGGATCCCTTACCATCGGTTAGTCATGTGTTCTCATTGGTAATTCCAGAAGAAAAGCAACATGTTGTTAATGCTATTACCACTGAAAACAATGAAAATCTTGCTTATGCTGTCAATGATTCCCATGGTTCAAAGTCTCGAAATGGGAGGAAGGATAGACCCTCATGTTCACATTGTGGTGTTCTTGGTCACATCAAAGACAAGTGCTTCAAGCTTCATGGCTATCCGCCTGGATTCAAAAAGGGAAAGTATTCAACTCTTCTCAACCTACTGCTAATGCAGTCAACACATAAACCATGGAGGAAGACACTCCTTTGAACACAAAACAGTATAAACGGCTCATAGCATACATTCAAGGTCAGATGGCTAGGAAATCAAACTCAGACTCTTTACCAGGTGACTTCGTTGGTATGGTTTTTACTTCATCACATCACAATGAATATTCTGCTAGCAATATATGGATAGTTAATTCAGGAGCCACATCACATATTGTACATTCTTTTAGCATGTTTACTTCATATAAACTTCTATCTCACAAATTTGTGATATTAACTAAAAATAGAAAAGTCTATGTTTCTGCCATAGGCACACTTGTTCTCAATTCTCATCTCACATTACACATGTGTTATATATTCCTGCTTTTTGCATCAATCTTTTGTCTGTTAGTCAGTTGCTACAACAATCCCATTTATCTGTTATTTTTTCTAAATCTGGATTCATTATTCAGGACAATCAGCAGGGGAAGGTGACTGGTTCAGGTGATTACACTCATGGTCCCTACTTCCTCAAGAGCACACTTGATGTTTCCCCTAATACGTTTACTGGACATGTTAATAATAGTTCCTCAAGTATACCAAACTGTAATTTTGTTGGAAATGTTTCTTTTTCTAGTTGGCATGCTAGATTAGGGCATTTATCTGACCATGTTTTACAAGCTATTCAAAAAATTGTTCCAGCTTTATTTGTTCTCAATAAAGATAATCATGAATTTTGCAAAGTTTGTCTTCTTGCTAAATTTCATCGTTTGCCTTTTATTTCGCACAATAATCATCAAAGTTCACCTTTTGATCTAATTCATTGTGATGTGTGGGGTCCTTTTTCTAAATCTACATATGATTGCTTTCATTATTTTTTAACCATTGTTGATGATAACTCTAGATACACGTGGATTCATTTAATGAAGCACAAATCTGAAGTAACTTTTTTGATCAAATTGTTTTTCTAGTTCATCAAAACACAATTTCACACTATAATAAAGGGAAATCGCAATGATAATGCCAAATAACTGTAACTGACTGAGGTTTTACAAGCTGGAGGAGCTACACATCAATTTTCATGTCCTTATAGACCTCAACAGAATTCAGTTGTGGAGAGAAAACACCAACATCTGCTTAATGTTGCAAGGGCATTGATGTTTCAGTCAAAAGTTTCAATACGATTCTAGGGTGATTGTGTCAACATAAGTGCTTACTTGATCAATAGAGTTCCCTCTCCTGGATTAGATAACAAGTCACCTTTTGAAGTGTTACAAGGTAAGCTAGCGGGTTATGAATCCCTAAGGGTATTTGGTTGTTTGTGTTTTGCTTCTACCATACCTGCTTATAGATCAAAATTCATTCCCCGTGCCTCACCCTGTATTTTTCTTGGCTATCCTCAAGGTGTCAAAGGTTATAAAATTATGAACCTAGAAAATATAAAGATTTTGGTCACTAGGGATGTCACATTTCAGGAATCAGTTTTTCCTTTTCAGTCTATTACATATGACACAGTCCAATCACATTTTTTTCTGACACTGTATTGCCAAAAGCCATAACATATTATTTTTCTCCAAATGAACTAAACCCTTTGGTTAATAATGAGATCCATGATCCATGGCCTGACATGGATGTCCTTGTCATAACTCAAAACAACCAAGTATTTTCGGTTGATCAAAATGCACCTCTTCCAAGGCCAACTAGAACTCGTAGACACCCAGTGTACCTTCAGGATTATCAATGCAATGTTAGGTACCCCATAAAAAATCACTTGTCTTGTGACAAGGTTTATCCAACTTACAAACAATTTATAGGTGAAGTATCCAACATTTATGAACCTTCCTTTTATCATCAAGTTGTTTCTAGTCCTGAATGGAGACAGGCCATGGTTGAGGAAATTTCCGCTTTAGAGGCAAATAAAACACGAACCGTGCAAGGTCTCCCTCGAGGCAAAAGAGATATATGTTGTAGATGAATTTACAAAGTTAAATACAAAGCTGATGGATCTCTGGATAGATACAAGGCACGATTGGTGGCTCGAGGGTTCACACAACAGATTGGGGTTGATTTCTTGGATACTTTTTCTCCTGTAGCAAAACTCACAACTGTGAGAGTTTTGCTTTCTATTGCTGCACAAAAACAATGACAGTTCATTCATTTGGACATAAATAATGTGTTCCTAAATGGAGACCTCACTGAAGAAGTTTTTATGTAACTTACTAAGGGTTATCCAATAAAGGTGGAGAGTCTTGTTTGTAAACTGAACAAGTCTCTATATGGATTAAGACAAGCATCCAGACAGTGGTATAAAAAATTCAGTTCCACTCTCACCTATCTAGGATATGCACAATCCCCAGCCGATCACTCTTTGTTTTCTTGTGGAAAAGACTCATCTCTGATTATCTTACTTGTCTATGTCGATAATATTGTTCTTGTAGGACTTGATTCACAAAGATTAAAACAAGTGGGAATCCTCATGCAATAACATTTCAAGCTGAAAGTACTTGGAGATTTGCACTACTTTTTGGGATTAGAAATTTCCACATCTCAAAGAGGAATTCATCTTTGTCAAAGAAAGTATACTTTGCAACTTCTCCAAGATACATATTACCTTGCCTCAAAACCTATGAATGTTCCATTATATTCTGCAGTATCATTCCATGATACTGATAAGGAGATTCTTGAAGATGCCTCTGCCTATCGAAGACTCATAGGTAAGCTTATGTACTTGACAATTTTGAGGCCTGATATTGCCTATGCTATAAATAAATTGAGCCAGTTGATGCAGCAGCCTCGTACCACTCACTTGACAGGAATTCAGCATGTCTTGCAATACCTTAAGGGCATTCAGGGCAAAGGATTGTTTTTTCATACTAAATCCTCGTTTCGTATCACTGCCTTTGCTGATGCTGACTGGGGCAGTTGTAAAGTGACACGCAAATTGACGACTAGTTTTTGTGTTTTTTAGGAGATGCCTTCATTTCATGAAAATCAAATAAGCAACCTACAGTTGCTAGATCATCTGCAGAAGCAGAGTATCGGGCTTTAGCTTTTCTCACTTCTGAGTTACTATGGATCCGACAACGCGCATGTTTAAAGTCAATTTACAATATGTCATGGTGTTTTGTGATAGCATGTCAGCTATTCAGCTTGCATCAAATCCTTTGAGAATGAAATTTTTGTATCCCAAAATTTTCCCTTCCATTGTCACTCAAGACATGCCTCTAGAGGTCCTCAATTTCTCAAGGATGACCAAGAATGGACCAGACAAATTCTCTCCCTAAGACAACAAGCCTCAACTAGGGTTTCAATTTTAAGCAATATGTGTGAGTCCCAAGGATCCAAAATGTTATCCATTATCTTAATATATCCTCAAGATCATCCATGCCAAATTTCATGCCTTGAGCAACAAGTTTACTCAGTCAACTGCTCAAATGCTTGGGAATCAACTGTACTAGGTCAAAAGTAAAATATGGCCCAAATATAGTCAAACTTCAATATTTTTGGTCAACATCAATATTTTGAAGTATTATACATCATTTGATCAAGGGTTGATCATGATTTCTTAAGAAATGCTCATAACCCATCAAAAGTAAAAAATGGCAAATTAGGGTTTCTATAGGAAAAGTCAACTAAACTTTGACCTGGCATAACTTTCTCATACTTTATCAAAAAATTTCCTCCAAGGCTCATTTTTAAGAGAATAGAATTCCCTACAACTTCTCTTCATCCCTCAAGTTCATGAAATTCCTCAATCAAAAGATACAAGCTCAGACATTATAGGCCCTTTCAAAAAGTCAACAAAAACACCTTTTGGGTCAAAGCTATTTACATGAACATGGAAGATCCAATTGAGGTGAAACCAAAAGGGTTGTTTAGAGGACATCCTAAGCTCTCTAGAAAGTCTAAGAACACACTCATAGGGTTAAAATTGAGAAAGATATGCATTGCTAAAGTTGACCAATTTTATGAAAATGCACAAAAGTCAATGTGAGCAAATTAGATCTTTTGGACTAATGGGTGTGGGTTTTGGATCTCAAGCATATCCATGAACTTATTTAGGATATTTAAATCCATTATTTTATTTTTATGAGATTTGTTTTTATTTATTTGAATCCAGATTGGGTTCACACCCCCATTCAGGCCCATTCTTCTTTCTTTTTTTTAATTTAATTTCTTTGTTATTTTTAATTATTTCAAAAATTATTTTTTCATAAAAATCATAAAAAAGTCAGAAAATCATAAATTAGGATTTAGAGTTATTTTAAATAAAAACATATTTTTCAATTTAATTAATTTAATTAAATTTTAACCTTATTTCATTAATTAAATTTAACTAGAGAATTAGGTTAAAATTCAAATATTTTTTCATAAAATACAAAAATATTTTTAATGAGCAATTAGGTTTTTTCTTTAGGGTTTAGAAATTTTTTCCCGTCTTAATCTTGTGCGCTATTATCTTTTGCATACGATTTTTTTACCACTTGTGTAACTGCGCCTGGTTTGTAATAGTTAACTAGGGTTTTCTATCTTCGCACGTTTACTTTTCGTTCATTACTCGTGTATCTACACCAAAGCCCTGTAATAGCGTAGGACTTTATTTCTTGCTTTTTCATTACATGCTTGTATATAATTGTTAGTAACTTAGGCGTGCATGACAAGAATCAATTAATCATAGATCACTAATTGTAAGATAAACATAACTGAAAAAAGACATTGTTGCACACTTGCACCCTTAGGGTATACCTCACTTGGTTGCCTCGGAAAATAATGGTCATGTCCCTCGAACGTAGGGGTATCTTAACAAAGAACCTCAATTCTAAAGACATCATAAAAGATCATGGTCCCTAAACGCCCCTCGTGTTGCCTACGAGAAATGATCTTGTCCCTCGATGTTGTCTATAAATATATGATGACAGTCCCTTCAAAATTCTAAGATATCCTTACAAGTTGCCTTCAATGACCATAGCGTCCCTTTCGATAGTCCCTCAACATCCTATGATAGGGCTACCTATTCACTAATAGTAGGATAGCACTATCTAAAGGTTAGGAGGAAAAGAACAC